AAAATGTAAAATCTTTATATTCCCCCACCCTAAAAATGTCCTTTTGAGACCCTTACATATACCTGACCTTTGAAATTATGTAAAATTATGTAATAAAATAATTGTATGTATCTATACATATAAAAATTGTCTCTCTGTCTGTACTCGATAGATTCAAAAACCATACATCCAATTGCCGTGAAAATTTGGGAAATTATTAGGTATATCCCTAGGAAGGTTTTTGAAATTTTTTTTTTTTTTAATCAGAGTTGGGGTTCTAGGTGCTCCCGAACAAATATCCAAAAAATATCAAAATAATATTTAATTAGTAATATTTGTTAAAAGTGTAATCATGAATAAATTGAAAAATTAAATTTTTACTTATAGAATTACTTTTATAAAACAAATTAAACTGTAAAAAAATAACATACCTATAATAGCAGTTGTAAAAAAAAAAAAAAAAAAAAAAAAAAAAAACATACAAAACAAATCTGAAATGTTTCAGATTTTAAATTACGTCCAAAGGGGCGTTTTTTAACATTTTGTGTGTTACCTTTCTTTATTAAATATCATGTCCTCGCACTTAAACCATAAGATCCAGTGCAACAGCAATATCGCAAAATAGTTTTAAAACGAGCATATCTTTAGAATTTCCGATACAGAGACTCACGCGCTGGAGATAAAAATGTTTTTTCTGCACAACGTTGCCATTGCTCGCTTTGAAATCCTTGAGTTTGTAATCAAAAATTCGTCAAAGTTTTAAAAAATAGGAAATCGATCATAAAACAAATTTCAAATTTGGTCTTCCACATGCTCATATTCGTTGGAGGATTACGTTATTCAAAATTCGATGACTCTATGTACCGTTATTTTATGACAATGTGAGAAATATACATACATTTACGCAGATTTTCATTATTTAATTTCTTCAAATATAATGCAGGACTCTAACCTTTTGTGGCAACACTTTGAAAAGTGAACCGACATTTATGAGTCCGACGCAAAATGCCAAAACGAAACTAATAGTCCTTCGGGATTCAAATCCCTTTGGACTAAAAATCTGATGTGTTCACCACATGACTTCCTTGTACGGAATATTAAATTATACGCGTTTTTTCTTGCATTTTATTTAAACTTATTAGATTGAATTAAACCTACTTCGCCGACAGCGCATAAACCACAATAGATAAATGCATTCTTTAAAATTCACTTTGTTTACCATAGCGACCTCTGGCGCTAGGTTTACTTAACGTATTATATTTCATTCATATTATAACTCAGAATGCACAAAATGTATATCATTTAAAGAATTATCTAATCGTTGCCACATGTTCTATTCAAATACTATAATAAAGCTAGAACTATGTATAAAAGAAATTAAGCAAACAAAACAAAACAGAAACAGTTTTTCACAGAGGATTGAGTATTTTCTCATTTAATTAATTCAGTTCTCACTTCGCAGAAGGCAAAAATACATAAAACTCAAATATCTATATTAAAAATTACGAAGTAAATCTCAAACGCTTATTTCCTCGAAAAATTCCAGAAAGAATTAAGCATGATTTAATTGGCAATAATAAATGAATGCGTTATCTTTGTTGTTGCGAAGCTAAGTTTCTCTAGATTGGCAACAAATCCACTAGTCTCCTCTTTCAAATTTAAACATCAATGGCCGCTATTAGCAACTTTAAAATTGCTGATAATTCTAAAAATATTGCACACAGATTTACTAAAGGCATAAAATCCTTAACCAGAAGATAAAAACAATATAATTCAATCATTTTTTTAAAGAAAAAAATGTACAATTTACAAACATATAAGAGTAAAGAAACTGAGATCACTGAGCTGGGTAACAGAGTGGATATATATATAAATATATTTATATACGTTTGGTGCGGCCGCTTGCAACCAAAATACGAGGTGCACATCTACATGTTATAGCAGTCCTATATACAAAATTTCAACGTTCTGAGGTTACTCGTTTTTGAGTTATGCGAGATACGTACGTACGCACGTACGTTCGTACAGACGCCACGAAAAATTCTCTTCAGAATTAATTTTAAAGCAGTTTTATAGTTTTTTTGAAGGAAAAGAGTATTTTATTCTGTCCTTACGTACAGATATGACGCAAAAACATCGTTAAATTGCATTCGATAGCGGTAAAAATGGATATTTTCGTTGAAATATGCTGCCTGAAACTTTTCGCGATTACAATACTTCCTTTTTACTTCGTACAAGGAAGTAATAAAAATCACAAGGTAAGTAAAATACTGAATCGTTTTATTTATATTTTTTCAATTATTGTTTGAATATTACCAATATATATTAAAATTTAAAATATTTTAAATACATAAATTGTGTGTTTCCTTTAAGATTTCAACAAATTAATTTAAATTACAAAAAACAACAGTAATGCGTTTGACGTTCGAATTTTCGCCAGTAAATTCTAATAAATACAAAAATGCAGTCAAAAAACTTTTGCAATTATTAATACGAGAATAAATTATTAATACGTAAATAAATAAAAATATTATTGATTTCCAGCTGAAGAAAATAATTGGAAATACGTTTTATTTAACCCCACAATTATGCCACCAAAACGAAGTGCCATTGGTCGATCTACAAATCAAGCAAAAAGGAGAAGAGAAGAACGAGCTTCAAAAACAAGTGAGCAGAGAAAAGCTAGGCAAGATCAGGTGAAACAAGTCAATCAAAAAATTTTTTTGAAAAATATACGCAAGTACAATTCATGCTTCCAAATGACATCGTTCGGAGCAACGAAAATCGGTAGCGCAAATTATATGCCAACATTTAAAGTAGTACAAGGGCGAATTTATCAACATGCTGGATCACCACTACCCTTACCAAATGCTGATCACAAATATTTTCAGATATATTTTATTGATTTTATTTCAGATATATTATATTACAATTCAAAATGAAATACCTGATGAATAAACAACATATAAATCCATAGATACTGTTATCAATCACGATGAATCAGTTAATTATCCAATAGAATTTTTAACTTCATTGGATCTACCCGGAATGCAACCGCATATTTTATCTTTCAAAATTGGTTCCCCAATCATCCTTCTACGAAATATAAATCCACCGCCACTATGTAATGGGACTAGGCTATCAGTAAAAAAATTAATGAATAACATAATTGAGGCAACCATTTTAAATGGAAAACGCCAAGAGGAACATGTACTACTACCACGCATTCCCATGATACCAACGGACACTCCATAGGAATTCAAACGTTTACAGTTTCCTGTACGACTAGCCTTTGCAATGACCATTAACAAAGCACGGGAACAATCATTGCAATGTGGATTAAGTTTGATAAATCCATGCTTCTCACATGGACAGCTGTATGTTGGGTGTTCACGAGTTACTGACGAACAAATCAACAGACGGTGTCAACTGAATAATAAGTACTAAACGAGAGATTGTCGCTGAATTACAAAATTTGTTTGAACAACATCAAATGTCATCTGACGATTACAAAGTAATAATAAAGGCAGATAAAACACCTATTAATCAACATCGAAGACAATTTAACGCACCAACGATCGATGAAGTGGCAATTGTCGTAGTTGGTGAAGAATTCAATTCTCGCGATATAATTTTTCATCGTAAAAATGGTGACGTCCAGCAAGTATCAGAAACGCATCGTTCATATGATGCATTACAATATCCCTATTCTATTTTGGCAAGGAGAGGATGGATATCATTTTAATATTAATATGAGAAATCCTACAACTAATGTGGACATTAACAAAAAGGTAAGTGCTATGAATTATTATGCATATCGAACGATGATTCGGGAGAATGCTGATAATCATATATTGAAATGTAGACAATTGTTTTATCAATATATTGTTGACAAAATATGTATATTGTTGACAAAATATGCAAAAATAAGAAAAGACTCCTCTACATATGACTAAATCAAGTTAAATTGCGTTCTGAAGAACACATCCATTTACGTGATGCAGTTGTAAATGATGGCAATCTCAGTGAATTGAGAAAAATGGTCATTTTACCATCCACATTTACAAGCAGCCCAAGACGTATGCATGAATATGCACAAGATGCAATGACGTATGTTCGTGCATATGGTATTCCAGATTTTTTCATCACATTTACATGCAACCCAGCATGGGATGAAATAAAGGAGCTTTATTAACTGAACAATCGCCATCAGATCGTCATGATATTTCTGCACGTGTATTTAAACAAAATTAAAATCTTTACTAGATTTTATTGTCAAACACCATGTATTTGGAGAGACGCGCTGTTGGATGTATTCCATTGAATGGCAAAAAAGAGGTTTACTATATGCGCATATTTTAATATGGATGATGAAAAAGATAACACCAAATAGAATTGATGAAATGGATAAAAACAGAATTGATTGTACGTGCAAGAGCAATGTCACCACCGCCAACAACATTAACTGAATTTTTCACGTTATGGAGAAATGATATCTTTTCAAGGACACTACTGTACTCTGAAGTACCAACTTATTTTACATCAACAAGAAAATTTCAGCGTCGTAAACAAGGTACAGCAGTACAAGGACATCTAAATTTATATTCCACAGATGCATTGGGTCGTCTGTACACTGTACATCCAAAAAACGCAGAATGCTTTTACCTAAGATTATTATTAATCAATGTTCGTGGACCAACATCTTCCCAAGAATTAAAAACAGTCAATGGCCATGTGTGTGCTACATTTCGTGAGGCTTGCGAGAAATTAAGTCTCTTAGAAAACGATGCTCATTGGGATATTTCACTCGCTGACGCTTCTATACAGCTCAACCACAGCAGATATGTACAGTATTTTCCATCATACTAACTACATGTTTTCCAATAATCCAAAGAATCTTTGGGAAAAAAATAAAGACTATATGAGTAAAGACATTTTACATCGCAGCGTAGAATAAATGCTAATCCCAACATTCAATTACATCAAATAATACAATGAGCAATAATTTTAATTGAGGATATATGTTTGATAATAGCCAACAAATCACTGACAGAATTCGGAATGATTGCTCCATTTTCGATCGTGATATACAACGAGAAACGCACTTCGATGTTAATGAATTACAAACATTTGTTCGAATTAATCTGCCGAAATTGGTATTCGAACAACGAAAAGCATATGACACAATTATAAATGCAATATCTAACAAGAGTTGTGGTTTATATTTCTTAGATGCACCTGGAGGCACTGGCAAAACGTTTCTTATTTCAATTATTCTGGCAACTAGAAGATCACAAAATAATATTGCACTTGCTATTGCATCATCTGGTATTGCAGCAACTCTTGGACGGTGGTCGAACAGCACATTTAGCATCGAAATTGCCATTAAATATGCAGGTAATTGGAACTCCAGCATGTAATATTATCAAATATTCTGGGATGGGAAAAGTACTAAGATCATGTCAGCTTATAATATGGAATGAATGCACCATGCCACACAAGAAATCATTGGAAGCACTCGCACATTAAAAGCTTTGAGAGGAAATGAGCAGCTCTTTGGTGGTGCACTCATTTTGCTAACTGGTGATTTTCGACAAACTCTACCAGTTATGCCACGTTCAACACCTGCAGATGAATTGAATGCATGTTTCAAATCATCATTGTTATGACGTTATGTGGAGAAAATATCTTTAAAGACCAATATGCGTGTTCAATTACTACAAGATGAATCTTCTGAACGATTTGCAAAACAATTGTTAGATATTGGGAATGGTAAAATGGAAATGGACGAATCCGCACACTGTATTACATTACCAGAAAACTTTTGTCACATTGTAAAATCCACTGATGAATTGATTGCCAAAGTTTTTCCAAATTTATCGTAGAATTATAAAAATAATCAATGGGTTAGTGAGCGTGCTATATTGGCATCCAGAAACATTGATGTGAATTTAATAAACTGCACAATTCAAAATGAAATACCTGATGAAGAAACAACATACGTATAAATCCATAGATACTGTTGTCAATCACGATGAATCAGTTAATTATCCAATAGAATTTTTAAACTTCATTGGATCTACCTAGGAATGCCACCGCATATTTTATCTTTGAAAATTGGTTCCCCAATTATCCTTCTACAAAATATAAATCCACCGCGATTATGCAATGGGACTAGGATATCAGTAAAAAAAAATTAATGAATAACATAATTGAGGCAACCATTTTAAATGGAAAACACCAAGGGGAACATGAACTACTACCACGCATTCCCATGACACCAACGGATACTCCATTCGAATTCAAACGTCTACAGTTTCCTGTACGACTAGCCTTTGCAATGACCATTAACAAAGGCACAGGGACAATCATTGCAAGTATGTGAATTAAATTTGATAAATCCATGCTTCTCACATGGACAGCTGTATGTTGGGTGTTCACGAGTTGGAAAACCATCAAATTTATTTGTTCTTGCACCAGATAGGAAAACAGAAAATGTTGTATATTTACAAGCACTAACTAAGATAATTAGTAGTGCTTGTAAATGTACACCATCACCATCAATCATCAAATATCATTCATCTCATGATGATATTTAATAATTACAAAATTATTGTTCAATTGAAATTCGTTTGCAGTATTGTTTAATATCACAAGTGAAGAAGCATGTTTATTCTACCACCAACTATGTATATCTGTTTTTTGTACATATTCAAATGACATATATGTACAGAAAATTTTATTGTTAATTTTCATTTTGATGTATTGCATACATTTAATCATTAATAAATTATGTTTGAGGTATCAAAACTGCCTTTTTGTTCAAACACAGCAACGTGTGAACGGGTACAGCTAGTTATATAATAAAATTAATTAATCTCTTATCTTTTAAATTTCAAGCTAAGCGAAAACATGTTGTAATTTTATCTCGAGGCATCGTACGTGCTTAGTCCATTTAATTATTCTCCCCCCCCTCCTGCTATACCTGAAATAAATAAATTTAGTAGGCATGAAGGTGTCTTACATAATCGTCTTTAACAAAGCGATTTCAAAAGTGTATTGTCTTCTTATATTCGAATCAATAGAGTGCTTATTGGCTTAAAAGGGTGATTAGTCTCTAAACACGATTTTACGTTGTTTCACTTTTCATTCGAGTTTGTTGCTATTCGAAAAAAAAACGTAAGATATTATTTTTTTATGTTTGATCTACCTGTTATTAATTAACGAACTACGCTATTTAAAAGGAATAGATGCAGTTCTTAAGAATATTATTTTTTTACTTTTTAATCAGGTTGATTTAAATAAAAAATCATCATTTAATTAACTTGTTTAATTAGATGATTAAATAAATGAATTAATTTAAAAATAAATTAAATTAAAAATAAATTGATTAAATAAATGAACTAATTAATTAGATGATAGATTTAATGAAAACATTGAATATTTTTATAGAATTACGTCACATATTTTTTCACTTTTTAAATGTACAAAAACTATATAACGTTCCCATTTTAGTTTAAATGCATATTCATGTAATATCCTATAAAATGCTTCGCTGTTCCACGTGGGCCATCTTTGTCGATAATTTCTACTGATAACATTTTTTCATGTTAGAAACACGAGAAAAGACTTTAAAAGTGCTCTTTTGGACAATCATTAAAATTAGATCCCTTTCAAATTTTCTCACATTATGCATTCCGCGACTTGTTTGTTTTCAAATTTAGACTTGAAATTATTTATGAAATACAGGTGTTTTATATAATAAATTTTGGTACGCTATTGAAATACAGAGAAGATTTGAAACTCATCTTAAAGCCATTAAAAGATGATGACTAGGCCTCTAATGGGGCCCGAACCACCGAGTAAAGTTTTCTCTAAAATACCAAAGATAAGGCTGTCAGTTAGGATAGATTAACAAAACAGGGCCTCATGAAACTTAAATAGTGGGCCTCATTTCAGTTGTCGATAACCCAGCTGATCACAATAAAGGCACACCGCCCAGGAATTTCATACCCGATTGCATGAACAAGTTTAAAGAAACAGGTTCTGTCAACACTGATAGATTTCAACTTGGGCAATTTCCTTTCTCTTCGACTGATGAACTGAAAGTGCAGCAATGAACAATTAAAGGGCTTAATTAAAAATTAATTACTTAACTGCGATAAACCATGTGGTTGCTTTTCAGTGTTCTACGGAGATTGATTTTTACCATGCATAGAAATGAATATTATCCCTATTTAAAACTGAGAAAAATTTTTAAATATCCTTGCATTAAAGATTAATAGCTTGCATGTGTATTATATTTTTTTAAGTAAATGAGATCAAATATATTTCATTATTTTAACAAAATATGTGGAGGTGTTTGTCTTCTTATATATGGGTTTTTTAATGGAATTTTAGAATCTTCATTTTTTTCGCTGTTTGATTTTGGCTGAGCGCTTAGCTAAGGGATATAACTCTTTTCCTTATTTTGTATGAGATTTTAGAAAGAGTAAATAGAAATTTTGTAAACCATTAGTTACCTAATGAATTTAATTGGCACTTATAACCGATTCTGGTTGCAATTCGTGAGTATTGTACTCACATCCCGGAAGCTAAAATCCGAGTATTAAATCAAACAACGGATGAAAACCTTTGAAAAAAGGATAGTTTTTTTATTAGTCCAAAGGGATTTGAATCCCGAAGGACTATTAGTTTCGTTTTGACATTTTGCGTCGGACGGATAAATGTCGGTTCACTTTTCAAACTGTTGCCATAAAATGTTAGAGTCCTGCATTATATTTGAAGAAATTAAATAATGAAAATCTGCGTAAATGTATGTATATTTCTCACATTGTCATAAAATAACGGTACATAGAGTCATCGAATTTTGAATAACGTAATCCTCCAACGAATATGAGCATGTGGAAGACCCAATTTGAAATTTGAAATTTGTTTTATGATCGATTTCCTATTTTTTAAAACTTTGACGAATTTTTGATTAACAAACTCAAGGATTTCAAAGCGAGCAATGGCAACGTTGTGCAGAAAAAACATTTTTATCTCCAGCGCGTGAGTCTCTGTATCGGAAATTCTAAAGATATGCTCGTTTTAAAAAACTATTTTGCGATATTGCTGTTGCACTGGATCTTATGGTTTAAGTGCGAGGAACATGATATTTAATAAAGAAAGGTAACACACAAAATGTTAAAAAAACGCCCCTTTGGACGTAATTTAAAATCTGAAACATTTCAGATTTTTTTTTTTTTAATTTTTTATTTATTTATTTTTATTTTTTATTTTTTTTAGGCAGTTCCAAAGTATGTTGGTATGCAAACCGTGCTCATGAAATGAAATAATAAAGTTAAGTGGAGTGCAGTACAGAATTAAGCTCCATATCAGAGATAAATTTATAAGCTTTTTCTGAAATAATACTAAAAAAATATATTATTACGAATTTTGTATTTAGATACTGTAAAGGCCCTTATTTTCCGCGAAGCTTTAATTTTCGCGATTTTCGCGAGCCCGTCGTAATCGCGAAAATTTAAGCCTCGCGAAATGCTTTTTTTTTTTTTTTCGCCTCAAATAATAATAAAGAATCAGAAATTTTTCACTTACCCAAAATTTAATGATTTTTTGCACAGTTGCAAGCTTCTTCTTGACAACTTTCTTTCTTATAACTATTTTTTGAATAATATACAGCTATATTTCTCGAATCTAAAACAATAACATTAATAGAAGGCAGCTCATTCACTTAGAATACTATTTATACCGGCTTCTTTGAAGACATTCAAAATTATCTCATGTTTGGCTTCAATACCGTTAAATACGCGCGCAAGCCAAGAAACGTGAATCGGTTTTAGTCGTAATATTCGCAAGTCCACAGATTCTTTTTCTTCTAGAAATTGAAGCTCATTAGAATACCACTCAATAAACTCATTCTTGAGCAAACGCTTGAAATCGCCATTTAGACGGGAACGGGGGGGGGGAGGACGAAGTTTTCGGACAAAAGGAAGTTTCTTAAAATGCTTTATGCAAAAGATGTACTTTTGGAATTTTTCAACTTTCTCAACTTTACTTAGGTACTTTTGTAATTTTTCAACTTTCGGTTCTGTTCAACTGAACGGATTTTTATCAGTGGTTGCTTTCCATTATTTGAAGTTCAGATTTTGAGCGTAAGGTGCATTTGCCCCTCGCTCCCTATTTTAACTTCGCTAATATTTCTTTATGCTTGATCAGATAGCCTGGCTCAGTAAAAGTAGGCGGCCAGTGCAACTCTGATTAAAAATCTAGTTATAACAACGTGCAGTGCTGATAAGGACCACGTGTTTCTCCTTCTCCTATTTTCTTCTTTCTATGTATTTCTTTCTCCTGATGAGGAGGGACCTTTAGCTGCCCTCGAAATCGATTGAGTGTTT